CGTTGCTAATATTGAGTCCAAATGGTGTGGTTGTTTTAAGTAAAAGTTCCCAGTGATTCTCTTTATCTTTGCGATTTTTGTCGCTCCAACTGGCATTATGGTCAATTGCAATCACTCTGAAATTTGAAATTGAATGACCAGCTAAATTGAAATGTTCGGCTACTGGTTGATCAAGCTTATATATATATATATATATATATATATATAAATTAAAAGGTAAAATACTGAATGAATGAATGAATGAATGAGTGAATGAATAATAATAATAATAATAATAATAATAATAATAATAATAATAATAATAATAATAATAATAATAATAATAATAATAATAATAATAATAATAATATTAATAATAAACTTTATTTGAAACTTCACTTTTAAAACAATGGCACACGATGACGGTACGTTCACAAGAGTATAACATACAACATAGAATTTAAAATAAAATAACAAACGGTAACAAATAAATTCAAATACTGTACTGAATTAAAACAGTACTGAATAGAAAACGACTTAATATAACTCTAAAATGTTGACCATATTAAAATTAAATAGGCTGAAATAGATAAAAATAGATAAAAAAGGTGCTCTTCAAATCCCACAAACACACTATTTGGCAGGTTTAATCAGGACCGGCTTTGGCCGGACCACTTTTCCTCATTTCTATTGCTTTTTAAAATAAATAAATAAATATATAAATAAATAAATAAATAAATAAATAAATAAATAAATAAATAAATAAATAAATAAATGAATGAATGAATGAATGAATGAATGAATGAATGAATGAATGAATGAATGAATGAATGAATAATAATAATAATAAGAATAATGATAATATTAATAATAAACTTTATTTGAAACTTCACTTTTAAAACAGTGGCACACGATGACGGTGCGTTCACAAGAGTATAACATACAACATAGAATTTAAAATAAAATAACAAACGGTAATAAATAAATTCAAATACTGTACTGAATTATAACACTGCGTAGAAAACGACTTAATATAACTCTAAAATGTTGACCATATTAAAATTGAATAGGCTGAAATAGACAAAAAATGTACTTAATAAAGGTATTCCCATAGATATAAAACGGCTATATATGCTGATACCTGTAAATTATATGAATTTATTAATAATTTTCGCATCACATTTACTTTTTAATGTTATATATTTAAACAAACAAAAATTAAACCATTATGCGCTTGTTTGTTGTGTTGCCTATGTAGGCCTACATTTCAAATATTTTAACAATCCTTAATTTTAGTAAGATTGATTTTCAAAATGTTTAGAGGTATAAATTAATTTAAATTCCCAAAAATGTTGGGGGTTGGAGTTGGTCAAATTGCCCTGAACGCATAAAGGTTGGGTCAAGCCAGCCCATATTACTTTCAATTAAAATTGAAACCCCAGTAAAGAACATTCATTTTTTGAAAGTATGCATTCGCTTCCCGGCAGTAGAGCCATTTTTGAACCATTTTAAAGGCCTGTTTATACTTCAACGATAACGATAAAAAAGCTAGAAAGCAATTGTTCATATAGAAAATTTAAAAAAAATTAGAGAAGTTTTTACACTGGAACGATTAGATAACGATTTATCAGTTATGCGATAACAACATATTTTGACAAATCAAATCAGATAACGTCATAATCATGGAAAACATTAAAATCTCAGTAGCGACGATTTTATCGTTTTTCCATGATTATGACGTCATCTGATTTGATTTTTAAAAATATTTTGTTATCGTATACACGATAAATGGTCCACACTGAAAATCGACTACATTGACTGATCTACTCGTTGCAGTGTTGCGTGCATTTGCATAACGTGCTCACTTGCTCTACAGTGCGTGAACCGAACCAAGCTTGAAAATTACATCTTCACGAGTTGACGTCAACGATGATTTCGAGAGTATAATTATTCCATGCAAATTAATATTATATCTGACGCTTGCTGAAATTCAATTTGAAAATAAAGTTCATCTTTACTTATAACCGCGGACCGTTAATTAGTGCGACTAATCAGCCAGTGTGAAAGAGCACGGATATTAACAAGTGAAATCAGCGCGGAATATCAACACACTCATCGCCTAGCTATAGTGGCAAAAAATACTAAGTGGCACAACCGTCGTCTTGGAAAGAATCCAATTGATTAGCCGTATGAGCACCTTTTTGTGGGTAGAATTTCATTCATATTGGCATTCTCTAAAATAGACATTGGCCTATTGTGTTTTTCAATATGAAGTACATTTTATTTCATTTATTTCATTTCATTTATTTATTAGACACAAAGGCCCTGGGACCAGCAATGGCCTCTATGACTCATTGAGCAGGAAGTCCCAACAAAACACCAAAATATCAATAATATTTACAATAGATATTCGGTTAAAAAAAAAAAAAAAAAAAAAAAAAAACCAGACCAGAACGCCGTGCATTATAAATATTTTTTTTCAAAAAGCTTTCCTTATTAAATCATCATCATCATCGTTATAAACATCATCTTTATTACCATATTCCTTATCATTACTGACATCACAATCATCATCATTATAATTATAATCATTATCATTGTAATTATTATCGTTATTGTTATTATTATTATTATGTATTTCATTATTAGTGTTATTGCTGCTACAATATTATTATTATTATTATTAATAATATTGTTATATTATTATCATTTAAATAATAATAATTTGTATTGTTAAAATAATATTAACTACATATTAATATAAACATTGTTATTCTTATTGCTATCGTCGTTATCGTCATTAATATTTTCATAATTGTATTACTGTATTATTATTATTATTATTATTATTATTATTATTATTATTATTATTATTGTTGTTGTTGTTGTTGTCGTCGTCTTCGTCGTCGTCGTCGTTGTTGTTAGCGAAAAATAAATGTTCTGGAACTTCCTAAAATCGGAGTTTATTATTTTTATTCCAATGCCGTGATATTATTTTAACTCTGCATTTATAAACAATATTTGATGTCTGTACAAGTTAAAAGTTACTTAAATAAAATGTTTGTTTCAGCTTCTACATCATATTGCGGGGTACTGTATCGATATATATAAGATATACAAATGATGAGGACAGCGATGATGGTGAGTCTCCGAAAGCTGATACCAAAAGCAGTGAAAGTAAAGAGAGAGATAGGCCTACTATCACCAGTGAGGCTACCGGTGTCAGGCCAAAACTTAACAGAAAAGTATATGGCTCTTATATAAGAACGCTCGGTAAGGTAGCATTTGAATATATTTGAAGCTTGAGTACACAGTTTGCCTCCAATTCGAAATCTCTTTAATTCCTATATCCTACTAATTCGAGACCAAATTTTCAAAGTACCACCTTGACTCAATTTAACTTATTGCTTAATATGCCATCAAGGGCAATTATCCGCTTAACAATAAATTGTATTTAACAAGAACGGTAAAATTGCCTGCTGCAAAGGTGAGTTAATAATTGGTCTAGACGTTAACACAAAAGTTCACCCTGTAATTGGAGACCGAATCCCGTGACCACTCCACATTTTTAGGTCCCAAAGTTGGTTTCGAATTAGATGGAGAACTGTACGCTACAATTCGCAAGTCCGAAATCACATACGTAACTAATGAAACAATCAAGGCATAATAAATGAAATAAAAAATCATGAACATATAGCTTTTGGTCTATTATTCCTAAGGTACCGTTATAGGCCTACATGTGTAGTACAAATATATAGATTGATGGTTACGATCATGCACTCTAGGGGTCTTCAAATCCAATGAAAACAGAAAATTATTATTATTATTATTATTATTATTATTATTATTATTATTATTATTATTATTATTATTATTATTATTATTATTATTATTATTATGATTATTATTATTATTAAGGGTTCTACTGCAGGTTCCCGAGAACAGAAATAAAAATAATATGAAAGTTGTTTCGCAATGGTTTGGGTCCATTCATGATGAAGCACCACATTTGCATCATCGCATTCATTTTCTTTTCAGCCTCTATATTATATTAGAGAATTAAATCCAGAGAGATTGTCGTCTACCCCACCGAAAATCCGGCCGCCTATCTGTTGATACACCTAAAAACTATATAACATCCATGCAAAGAACACTCGATAAAATGCAAGAAGTCACCCTTAACGTATAAAAAAAAATAATATATTAAAGCGATATAATAATGTAGCTTTAGAGGTAGGGCCTAAACTTACGAGGATGTCCTGACTTATAATAATATTACGCCTTGTTTGTGATATTAATATTGGTGACACATACCTTTTATTTATTCTTCTTTTATTTATGCTACTTATTTCCTATATTTATAAGTGAAAATAGTACACTTATTCTAATATTAGTCCTGCTTTACTTAAGTCTATTATGGTTTCTATAAGGAAGTATTGGACATTCCAGATTTAAACAAGTTGTTTATTGCTTTTAAAACGCAGTTCCAGGATACGTGTTTTTCTACACGAACAGATCCGGATCTGTTCGTAGCGAATAACAATAAAGGTTTCAATAGCACGGATATGGATCGGGGATGGTGGTACATTCTATGGATGGGTAGGTGCTTTGTTGCGTAGGCCTACAGCAGAGTTTCGATTGATTTACTTGTTTAATACATTTTAGTATGATGTGGGCTTATGTAGGCATTTTCCCACTTTTTTTTCGCATTGATTAACACAGATAATCCATTCATTTGGTTCATATATTTCTGACATCTTTAATTTATTTTATTCTGGCCCCATTTACACTTTAAGCTGTGTCGACTCGGCCTTGGTCCCCATAATGTATCTCATTCACACTACGATCTAATTTACCGAGGAAATTACCTAGAATCACCAAAACGAGGCCAGCCGTTTCAAGCGGCCGGATTCCGGGGTAGTTTGACGACGTACAATGAACAACAAAATCTTAAGTGTTCTCCAGGGTTTTCGGCCCGAGAGTCCGAATTTTCAAATATTTCGACTCCATAGCTAGTTATACTATGGTGGATTTTGATGATGATGATGATGATGATGATCAATATCATTCTAATTCAATACGATGTAATAATAATCAATCGTGATGGTATAAAAACTCACTTTCTTAAAGATGGTGCTGGGCTAAGCTTTGGAGAACTTGCTCTTATCAAGAAGAGCAACACACGGAACGCTTCTGTAATAAGTGACTCCAAGATGCATGTGATCATTGTGAATAGGGATGTTTACAGTAGATCTTTGAAGATTAGCCAGCAAAAGGATCTTGAAGAACGTACCAACTTTGTCGATACGTATCCATTATTCAGGTAAGGTATAACCAGCCCGATCTTTTTTTAATTGTTTAAACCCAGTAGTGACGTAACAGATATAAGTGCCTAACGCTAGGGATAAATGGAGCCCGGGATATTCAGTGGTATCTTTTTTTCTTCAAATCGGCCTTTAAGATTAGTGTAAAAAAATAAATTAAAAAAAACGCCATTCAAAAGTCAAAAACGCCGAAGCAAGCGGGTTATGTACCCACTGGGCTCTACCTGGACCATGACCCGGACACAATAACAGTGGCGTATCTAGGAGTCTTGAAATGGGGGTGCTGATGGGGGTGGGGGCGCGAAGGTAAAGTTAGGGGTCTCGATCATCATTGATCTATGCTGCCCGATGGCGTAACCACTGGGGGACAAGGGGAAAATATCTATCTTTGA